GGCCTGCCCTGGCGTCGGACCCGCCGCTCTCTCGGGTGGGCTCTCGGACCTGCAGAGGTGTGCCGCAGACGCGCCCCAAGCGCTGCGAGAGAGCAGGGCGGAGACTGCCGCGTCAGAGAAGCACAGCCGGAGCTAACCATGATGAAGAAACGGACCAGTTCGGCAGCCTGGGCCAGCTGCTGACAATGGAGGGGCGGAAGAGCGCAAGAAACTGGGCCAGCCTTCCGGCAAGCTGGTCCAGAAGCGCTGGCCCAGCTTCTCGGGAGGAGGTTCCCGAATCAGATGCTCGACTGCAGGACGGGCATTCTTGCGCAAGGGCGTGGCGGAAACAGCGACGGCAGAGCAGGGCGGAGATCGCAATCGGAGGAGCTCGAAAAGGGCGGCGGGAGTCTCGCCCTGCTTGCGAAGTCGCCCAATGCACGGCGGATCCAGGGTCAGGGCAGGATGGGTGCACACGCCCTACTGCTCGGCCAGGCAGGCATGTGTGCACCCAACCTGAGCACAGGTTAGGAGGAGGAGGAGGAGGAGGAGGAGGAGGAGGAGGAGGAGGAGGAGAAGGAGGGTCGGGTGTACCTAGAACCTTGCGACATCGCGAAAAAACACGCGTGGCGCCCCAAGCTCCAAGCCCCATCGATTTGGGATGGCCCCCGAGCCCGCAACCAGGCGAGCACGCCTGGCGGTTCGAAAATTATCCCGGCGAAAGACCCAACCATATGCACATGCGAGTACCGCAGGGCAGGTGGGACGAAGCAAGGGGAATTCCCAATGTGGCCACGAACCGTGTGAGGGGTGCGAAAAAATGGGGCGGGGCCGCCATGCGAACCCTGCCACTGAGGCCTTCGGTGGAGCTTCCCATGGGGTCACGAATTGTGTGACAGGTGCACCAAAAGGGGCCATGCGAACCCTGCCATTAGGGCCTTCGGTGGAGCTCCCTATGGGGCCACGAACCGTGCGAGGGGTGCGCCAAAATGGGGCGGGGCCGCCATGCGAACCCTGCCACTGAGGCCTTCGGTGGAGCTTCCCATCGGGTCACGAACTGTGTGAGGGGTGCGCTAAAAGGGGCCATGCGAACCCTGCCAATGGGGCCTTCGGTGGAGCTCCCTATGGGGCCACGAACTGTGCGAGGGGTGCGCCAATTTGAAGCGGGGCCGCCATGCGAACCCTGCCACTGGGGCCTTCGGTGGAGCTCCCTATGGGGCCACGAACCGTGTGAGGGGTGCGCCCAAATGGGGCGGGGCCGCCATGCGAACTCTGCCACTGGGGCCTTCGGTGGAGCTCCCTATGGGGCCACGAACCGTGTGAGGGGTGCGCCAAAATTGAGGGGGGGGGCGCCATGCGAATCCTGCCACTGGGGCCTTCGGTGGAGCTTCCTGAGGGGTCACGAAACGTGTGAGGGGTGCGCCAAAATGGGGCGGGGATGCCATGCGGACTGCGCCAATGGGGCCTTAGGTGGAGCTCCCTATGGGGTCACGAAACGTGTGAGGGGTGTGCCAAAATGGGGCGGGGATGCCATGCGCACTGCGCCACTGGGTCCTCAGGTGGAGCTCCTTATGGGGTCACGAAGCGTGTGAGGGGTGTGCCAAAATGGAGCGGGGATGCCATGCGGACTGCGCCACTGGGAGGACCTTAGGTGGAGCTTCCTATGGGGTCACGAAGCGTGTGAGGGTGTGCCAAAATGGGGCGGGGATGCCATGCGCACTGCGCCACTGGGACCTCAGGTGGAGCTCCCTATGGGGTCACGAAACGTGTGAGGGGTGTGCCAAAATGGGGCGGGGATGCCATGCGCACTGCGCCACTGGGACCTTAGGTGGAGCTCCCTATGGGTCACGATACGTGTGAGCGGTTTGCCAAGATGAGGCGGGGATGCCATGCGGATTGCGCCACTGGGACCTTAGGTGGAGCTCCCTATGGGGCCACGAAACGCGTGGGGGTGTGCCAAAATCGGGCGGGGATGCCATGCGGACTGCGCCACTGGGACCTTCGGTGGAGCTCCCTATGGGGCCACGAAGCGTGTGAGGGGTGTGCCGAAACGTAGACATGCGGAGACGGCAAGGAGGGGGAGGAGGAGGAGGAGGAGGAGGAGGAGGAGGAGGAGGAGGAGGAGGAGGTGGAGAACGCGGGGCGCCGTCTCTTCAAAACGAAGACCCAACACCACAGGATCGTTGGGGAAAATTCAACCCCCAAGCCTGAGGGTGGCATGTGCACTGCTCTGCGTCGGCGGCGCGCCCGGGGAGAAGTGAGAAGGAGAATGCCTGATCAGCAAGCTCGGAAGCCCCCTGGCCTTCTGAGAAGTCCTCGAAGCCTCCCCCGAAGACGCAGAGCACCTCTCAGAAGGCGCGGGGGCTCCTGAGAAGTCCCGCGCCTTCTGAGAAGGCCTCCTCCTCCTCACTTCCCCCCCTCGCGCGCCGAGATTGGAAGGGGGACGAGGCCAAATCCGCTTGAAATCGGTCCCCGGAACCCTCCCGGGATCTATCTGGCGCAGTTTTTCACTCCGGATCCGTTTTTGACGGTCCCGCGGAGCCCGAAACGGGCCCCCAGAGGCCGAATAAGGCTACATCCCCGAACACAGACCCTCGAAACTGCCCGCGACTCTCCGCCTCGGACCTGAGCGGCCTCATCTCCTTCACCAGCTGCAGCGCCAGCGGCTCGCTGAGCTTGGCGATGCCCTCGCCGACCAGCCACAACTGGGATGCTGTGCCCCCTACCCCCACACGGCCGGACCTAGCACAGAAGGCATCCTAAAACTTCGCGTCGTAAGCAGACATTGGGAGGCCCTCGCCGGGACCCGGGACCGCCAGACAACGACTCGGGAGGAGAAACCAGTCTGGGGGGGAAGGTCGGGACATCTGGGCACCGCGTGTGGTCGGACCTGAGACAGAAGAACATGCTTCGAGGACACGAGACCCCCCGCCGGCCAAACTGAAGAGCACCCGAGGACGCCCTCCCCCCGGCCGCACGAGCCGCGCGAGGGGCGCCGAAGCCGCTGGGCCCCCCCCCCCCCCACCCTCGAGGAGGAGGAGAAGGAGGGGGAGGAGGAGGAGGAGGAGGGGGAGGAGGAGGAGGGAGGAGGAGGAGGAGGAGGAGGAGGAGGAGAAGAAGCAGAAGCAGGAGGAGGAGGAGGAGGAGGAGGAGGAGGAGGAGGGGGAGGAGGAGGAGGAGGAGCAGGAGGAGGAGGAGAAGGGCGCCGAAGCCACGGGGTAGCGGACCACAGCTCCCCCAGGCCGTGGCCCGTCTGCCTCTCCCCAGACCCCCGGCGTCGCCATCTTCTCCTTCGCACAGCGTCGACGCCCGGCGGTCTGCCTTGAGCTCCTGGCGCTGCAGTTTTCGTTCTCACAGCGGGCGTTGTCGCTCCGTCTCGGGCCCCGGGGCCCTCACAGATCGATCCGGCTCGAAAAATGGTGCGGAAAGATGGGGCCCAGGGCTCCGGGCGTTTTCTTCTCGCGACGTTACAACTTGTTGGCAACGTCGGATCTCGGGGTGGACCCTCTCCCCAGGACCAGTGTGTTTCGTCCTGAGCCGTTCTCTGGACGGCGCCGCGGCCCAGCCAGGGCCCCCGGAGGCCGAGCATGGCGCAGGGCACTTCCCGTCGTGTTCTTCCTCGTCCTGCGCCGTTTCTGTTGGACTGACTACCTACCAGACCACCACAACCCAACTCGAAGACCCAACTTTCGGGTTGGGGGGGGTATGAGTTCCATACGTGTTTTTTCAATGTGCCCCGACCCCCCCCCCCCCACACACTGGAAAAGGAGGGCAAATTGAGGCCTTCGGGTTGGGTTGGGGTGGTTTGGTAGGTGGTGATGGACGCCCCCGCGGCCCAGCAAGGGCCCCTCGAGGCCGAAAGCGGTGCTGCACGCTTCCCGCCGCGGTGTCTCTCCGCGACGCGCGCCCAGACCCCGGACGTCGCGATTTTTTCACAGCCTCGACCCCCAGAGGCCTGGACATCAAATTGGAAAAAAAAATTGACAGTGCCAAAACTGACGTTTATCAGCTGCTAACCGTTGTTTTAACGATGTTTTGCTTGCTGCCGACTAGGCTTACGTCGTGTGCATCCGGGCGAACCTCACACGATTGCGCCGCAGCAACAAGCAAATAAAAACAACTCCGATTCCTCCCTTCCCCGGGACCGGTTTCTCATCCCGAGCCGTTTTTTGACGGCCCCGAGGCCCTCTGCGAGGGCCCCCGGAGGCCGAAACTGTAGCGAAAAACCTTCCGTCGTGACTTTTGTCACAGCGCGAAGGGGGGTCTGGGAGGGGCTCTGCCTCGAGGCCCTCCGACAGCAGCTCGGCGGGGGGCGCGCCCCGCAGCTGCAGCGCGGCGGCGCCGGCGCCGGCCAGCAGCGGGTGCGGGTCGGGCAGCCCGACGGCGGCGCGCAGCAGCGCGGCGGCCTCCTCGGCGTCGCCGCGGTCGGCCGCGGCGCGCAGAAGCAGGGAGTACGTGCGACCGTCGGGGTGGACGCGCTCCTTTCGGGGAGGCGTGCCCAGAGGTCCGGCGCGTTGGAAAAATCTGCCGATCCGGCGTGTGAGCTACAAGGGGCCTCAGCAAGAGCTTCAGCTCCCCTCAGATCTAGCCGCTACCGCCCCCATGACCCTCCCCTCGGAACCCTCCCCGGACCCCCCGAGGCATCCCCCCCCCAGAGGGCACGTCAGCTCCACAAAGCGCATGTCGTCGTTGCAGAAAAATAAATACGATGGGCTTCTCGCCTGCGCCAGGGCGCGATCGCATCTAAACGCATATATTGCTTTAAAATACGTATTGCAGGGTTATGGGCGCTGTCGCTCCAGTTCGGGCCCCGAGCCTTCACAGATCGGTCCGGCTTGAACAAAAAAAGGCAGAAGGATGGGGCCTGGAGCTCTCCGGCCGTGGTCCTTGTGCGCTGTTGCCATGTTTTGCTGCCACGTCGGATGTCAGTGCAATTGCACGCGACGCGGAAAGCCACACGGGTACGATGTGCTGATTATGGAGCGAGGCGGAGGAGGAGAAGGAGGAGGAGGAGGAGGAGCAGGGAGGGAGGAGGGAGGGAGGAGGGAGTGCTGAGGAGGAGAAGGAGCAGCAGCAGGGTATGTGGGCGTGAGTGACTGCGCTGGCGAGAGAGCATCAGTAGGGAAACGAACTCTATACACCGACGCTTTTTTCCGACCCTATGCTGCAATGTGCACAGGAACGCGGATCCTGGTGTATACGGGATCCTGGAGTATACATGTTCGTTGTTTCCCTTGGAAAACGGGGGAGACGTATACACCACACCACCCCGACGTCGTCCCCGACCTTCCAAAAGTCGTGGGGTTGAAACAGAACCCGCCACTGGTAATGCATATGTTCCAGTTGCCGCACCAGCAGGGGCACTCGCATGCGACTCGAGCCGCAACGCACGAGGGAGGGAGGCGGAACGCCCGGCGCGGGCAGGAGGGCGGAAGCTGGGCCCGCTCCGAGCGGTGCCAGGCGGCGGGTCGGGCCCGGACCCCCCCCCTGCGTCATGCCTTTTGTTCACTGCGTCGAGCCCTGGAGGTCTCGACCCCTGTCCCCTGGACCGCTTTTCCATCCCGAGTCGTCTTGTTGACGGTCCCGAGGGCCCGAATAGCAACAAAAAACACATCCCGCCATGGTTTTGCTCGTTACCCGAGTGGGTCTGGGTGGGTGGGGGGTGGGGGGGGCACATCTCACACGAGCCTGCAGTATACCTAAGCCTCAGGCCGATACCGCCTGCCGAGCGGTGTGGCCAGAAAGCCCCTGGCCACAGGGCCAGACGCGCTGAGGTCTCCGAGCACGCGCGCCGCCCCCCTTGCGGGGCTGGGCGCGCACGGAGCACGCGTACGGCGAGGGCATGGGGTACAAGGAGCCATTGGATAGGGCATCCAGGGTCTGGAAGCCCGCGGAACACCCATCGTGGACCCAGACGTAGTCGCGTGGCAACAAAAAAACCAGGGCGGGAGGTCCTTGGCCATTGTCGGCCTCGGGGGGCCCTCGCCGGGCCTCGGGACCGTCAAACAGCGAGTCGGGACGAATCCTGACGACAATCAGGACGTCGCATGTCTGGGGATTGGCCACGGGCATCACCGCCGACCTGCTCAGAGAAGGAAGCCTCGAGGGTCTGGAGCCCTCCGGGCACACTCCTCAACGAGCGCCCCCACCGTGAGCGTGCGTGGGTGGTGCGGAGCACAGTCGAGCTTCCTTCGAGAGGGCACGCGGGAGGACACACGACGCCTCCGAGGGTCTTCGTGGCCGCTAACCAAGGGCCCCCCTGCCACAGGAAGGCGGCAGGCACGAGGCGGCATACGCAGGGCACACGGGTAGGTGCCCTTGACTCGGAAGGGTCGATATTCAGGAGGGGAAAAAGCACACAGACACAATTAATCGTCAATCCCCAGGAAAATATGGGAAAGTATGGGAAGTGGGGGGGAAGACGAAAACCCAGAAATGTGATAAAATATGGGGAATCCTTTCATTTGTGTGTATTTATGTGTGTACCAGGGCCCCTTCAGATATACCAATCCAAATCAGCTGTGACTCGGGTTCGGGGGACTCGGGAAAGCCTGACGGGACCGTCGGGAAACCGACGCGGCCCAGTCTGAAGTTTGACGAAGCTCCCGCTGCAGACGTCCCACGAAAACTGGGTCGCCAGAATTCAGGATGCATCCGCCAGAAAGCGTCAGCAAACCCGAGTTCTCAGAGGCCTCCTAGATAGGGTCCGAGTAGATGGGGTCGGAGGATCGCGCCGCATCGCCGATGCATCGGCGATACATCGCCGATGCATGGGCGATGCATCGGCGACGTCGGCGATGCATCGGCGCCATCGGCGTGGAGACAATCGGGCTCCACATCGAGCTGCATCGCCGATGCATCGGTGATGCACTGGCGAACTCGAGTCTTACGTTTCCCCGATCCACTGCGCAAGCCGACGACTTCGGGGGTTCGCGCGGATATCTTGGATTTGCGCTGGGGCTTCCTGGCGGCGCCGCCCCCGGCGAGCTCCGCGCGCCAGGGAAAGGAACTCCAGCGCAGATCCACGAACTCCGCGCGGCCCTCCGAAAGTTTATGATGACTATGCTGCGTTATGCCGCCACTTGGGATGACGTACTCCTCCTCCTCCTCCTCCTCCTCCTCCTCCTCCTCCTCTCCTCCTCCTCCTCCTCCTCCTCCTCCTCCTCCTCCTCCTCCTCCCCCTCTCTCCTCCAATCTCCTCCTCCCCCTCGCCGCGTCATGAGCGGCAACCAAAAACAAATCTGACACGAGATGGCGTAGCGACTCTACGCGGTGGCCGACTCGGGCCCTCCAGGGCGGCACGCCACGCCAGAAGGTCGAGGGCGCTTAATTACGCGCGCCCTCTTGCACGAGAAGCTTACGCGCCAACGTCGGTGAAGACGACTCGTTTTTGTTGTTGCGTCGCCCATTTGTTGTTCTTCGGGGGGCGAACAATGACATAAACCAAAAAACTCGGAGGTCCGCGCGGATTTCTGGGATCGGCGCTGGAGACCCCTGGCGGCGCCTACGGCGCCGCCCCTGGCGCGCTCCGCGCGCCAGGGAGGGGGGTCCAACGCCGATTCGAGAAATCCGCGCGGACCTCCGAGTTTCGATGTTTATGTCACTGTTTGTTTCCCTAATTCTTCGACCTTCAGCATGCGGCGAAACACTCCCAGGGCCCGGTCCACGTCGTGCTGCGCGGTGCAGGCGTGGATCAGGTTGTTGAACACGTGGACGTTCAGCCGGAGCCGGTACTTCCTGGAGATGTCATCGCAGACCTCGAAGGCCTTGTCGACCATGTGGCTGCGCTTCGCCAGCTTGACCAGCACGGAGAGCGTGAAGTTGCTGGGGGGCACGCCGGCATCCTGCATCTCCTGAAGAAGCTCCATACCACGGTCAAACATGCCGTGGCGCGAACAGCCGTCAAGTAGCGTGTTGTAAGTGATCTCGTCCGGATGCAGACCCTTGGACCGCTTCATGTTCTCGAGCAGCTCGAAAGCCTCGTCGAGGCGATTCTCCTGGCAGTGGCCCTTGATGATCGTGCTTTCGGAGGAGCAGAACAAAGCGGCAGAGGCATACACTTCCGGAGCTCCGCAGGATTTCTGCGCACGGGGCTGGGCCTTTCTGGCGGCGCCTCCGACGCCGCCCCTGGCGCGCTCCGCGCGACAGGGAGGGGGGGCCCCGCGCCGATCCAGGAAATCTGCGCGGACCTCCGAAAGCTCATGTCTGTGCATTTTTCCTTCCTCGAGCTGTAGGTGATCAGGTTGGGTTCGATCCTCAGCTGGGTCATCTCCTCGAGGAGCTCCGGGAGCCGCCTCATGTCGCCACTGCGGGCGCAGGCGTCGATGAGGGTGTTGTAGGTCGTGACGGAAAACTGCAGCTGCTCCTTCTCCGCCTGCATCTCCTGGCATTTAGCTCGTCGTCGTCGTCGTCGTTGTCGTCGTCGTCGTCGTCGTCTCGCGGATCGCATTGTTTTGGAAACTGTTCGTCCTCTGAGGGCCCCCGGAGGCCTCCGCGAAGCGCCTCTCAAGGACGTCCAGGCCTCCCGGGAACCTCCAGAGGGTCCCTCGAGGCAGTCGCGAGCAAGATTCCGACCCAGATGATTTGGCGCGAATGCTCAGAGCATGTGTGTGTGTTTTTACCCTGTTGGATGCCGACGCTTGTCACCAAACACCGCATGCACTCGGTGGTTCGTAAACTCAGCTCGCTTCCGGAATCTCGCCATCGCTCGGACGTCCATTCCTCGTGTATGTTCCGATTCCGTGCGTGTTTTTTTTTCGCGAAATGATCTTAAGGATGGTCCTCGATGGCCGCCGCCGAGACAAAAATGCACACGTCCGAGCGATGCCAAGGAACAGGACGGCCACGCCGGGGGACCCGGCCTGTGCCCGGAGCGTGTGTGTGTGTTTCTACCCTGCTGGATGCCGACGCCTGTCCCCAGACGCTGCACGCACTCGGTGGTTCGTAAACTCAGCGCGCCCCCGGAACAGGACGGCTCCGCCGGAACAGGACGGATCCGCGAAGATGAGGAGGGGGGAGGAGGAGCAATTAGGAGGAGGAGAAGGAGGAGGAAGAGGAGGAGGAGGAGGAGGAGGAGGAGAAGGAGGGGGAGGAGGAGGAGGAGGGGGGATCCGGCCCGTGGCCGCGCTGGCGGGCGCCCCGCGGGCGCCCCGCGCTGGCGGGGGGGGGTCTGCCGCGGCTCCGCCCGGCGCCCGCCCGCGGGTGCCCGCCTGCGAGCGCGCCCGCCCGCGCCGCGGGCGCCGCGGGGGGCGCGCCCGCCGCAGAGCTTGTGCTCCGCACAGCACGCCCCGCAGAGCTGGCCGAAGGATTGCAAAAAACCGAAGGATTGCAAAAAACCAAGGATTGCAAAAAACCCTTCGGTTTTTGTTGCAATCCTTCGGTTTTTTGCAATCCTTCGGACAATTTGTTTTTCTCTGCCCCCAAAGGAAGAGAGCCCGTCCACGGGCAAGTCCGCTGCCCCTTCAGGGGGCCCTGCCCGTGCGGCGAGGCACGCAGGACTCCGCACAGCCTGCGCAGCACAGCTAGCTTGCACCGCGCAGTCTGCACAGCGTGGCTTTGCACCGCGCAGTTCGCACGCGGGAACGCGTGGGAACGGGCCGTCAAGAGGCTGGCCCGGAGGCCGAAGGCATCCAGCCGCTGGGCCGCATCGCAGGTCTCACCCTGCTCACGCACTGTCTGGGGCAAGGCTTACCTGACCTGACCTGTATAGCTCACATCAGACATCCTACACAGCATTGCTTACACCGCATAGATCACACCATGCAGCATAGCTGACATTACACAACTCATGCCGCATCAGCTGAAACCGCATATCACTCACCACGTAACTCATACAATACAACTACAACTTGTGGTCCAAAACCCGGATAGCAACGCAGTCTAAAGCGCGTAAAACGCTGGTGGGGGACGCTTGCAAGGCCGCTGGAAAGCATGCCTGTCGAGCTTGCAAGCTTGGAAATGACTGTGGGAGACGCTTGCCAGGGCGCTGGAAACCACGCCTGGGGAGCTCACAAGCTTCGAACAACAAGCTTCGGAGGAGCTTCGAAGGTGCTGCGAAGGAGCTGCGGAAACACTTCGGGCACGCGCGTTGGGAACGAGTAGGAAAACGCTTCTTGGGACCCGCTGCGACCTCAAGCGAGGCGCTGCGGGGACGCCTGCCCAGGAGCCTTGGAGAGGGCCTGGCATAGCCCTGCCTGCCGGCTTCTTATCAAACTGCCGTTTTACATCTCCAAGGGGCTATCCGGGAAGCTCATAGCAGCTTCACGACCTAGTTAACGTTGGCGTGCTCAGGTAAGCTTGCATTCAACGGAAAAAAAGGGCGCTGGGAGCGCCTGCCAGGGCGCTCGAACGGTTTTCGGGGGCGCAACGGTGGCCTGCGTTTTCCAGATTTTTCATGAGGCGGATACAAGGCTTCATAGAGGAGACGGAGGTTCCTCTCTTTCCCCTTTCCATCGAGAAGAAGGAGGAGGTTACTTCCCTTCCTTCTCCCTCCGAGAAAGAAGAGGATGAGGAGGCGCCTTCCCTGTCTTTTGGATCGCGAGGAGGATGTTGAGGTTCCGTTCATTCTCTCTTTCTTCAAGATGGAGGATGAGGCGTCTCCGCTCCGTCTCGAGCCCTCAAGCAAGGGGGGAGGGATGTACCCTCCGTTTCCTTTCCCTCGGGCAGGAGGAGGCTGAGGAGGAGGAGGAGAACGGGGTTCCATTTTCCCTTCCCTCAAAAAGCAGCAGGCGGCTCCTTTTTCCGTCTTCCTCAGGAAAAAAAGGAGGAGAAACGTGAACAGGTCTCGTATTTCTCCTTTTCCGCGGGAGGGAGGATGTGGAGGATCCTCCCCGATCTTGTCTCCCTCAGGAAGGAGGAGGCGGTTCCGCCCCTTGTCGTGCCCTCAGGAAGGGAAGAGGGGGCCCCTTCCTTTCCCTTTCCGCCAGGCAGGAGGAGGCTGAGGAGGAGGAGGAAAAGGAGGAAGAGGAGGAGGAAACGACTACCAGACCCTCCTCTAAGGAAGGGCGAGGGGGTTGCTTCTCTTCCCTCTTCGTAAGGAGGAAGGGCGAGGATGAGAGGGTTCTTTTCCTTCAGGAAGAAGGATGTGGAGGTTCCTTCCTTCCTTTCTCCCTCAGGAAGGATGCGGTGGAAGAAAACGACAAAAAAGAAAAGGCCCCACCCCTCCCGCTTTTTCCGAGAAAGAGGAGGACGAGGTCACTTCCATCCCTCTCACTCAGGAATGAGAGGGATGAAGAGGAAGTGGGGGTTGCGCTCCTTCTCTTCCTTCAGGAAAGAAGAGGAGGCTTCTTCCCTTCCTTCTCCCTCCAGGAAAAAGGAGGATGAAGAGGTGTTGTCCTTTTCCTTTCGCTCACGAGGAGGAGGTGGAGGTTCCGTTCATTCTCTTTTCCTTCAGGATGGAGGAAGAGGTGGTTCCGCCCCCCCCCTCGCGCCCTCAAGAAGGGAGAAGAAGTTCCTTCCCTTCCCTTGTTCCCCGGGCAAGAGGAGGCTGAAGAGGAAGAGGAAGGGGTTCCGTTACTTGTTATTTCCCTCTCCCCGAGAAGCAGGAGGCGGTACGTTGACTTAAGTCTCCCCCAAAAACGAAACATGAACAGGTCTCTTCTCTTTCCTTTTCCCGCAGGAGGGAGGATGTGGAAGATGCGTCCCTCTTTTCTACGGAGGAGGAGGTGGCTCCGCCCCTTGTCGTGTTCTCAGGAAGGAAAAGGAGGTACCTTCCCTTCCCTTTCCGTCCGGCAGGAGGAGGCTGAAGAGGGGGAGGAAGTGACTTTCCGACCCGACCCTCCTCTCAGGAAGGAAGAAGAGGTTGGTTCCATTCCTTCTTCTTCAGGAAGGAGGGCGAGGATGAGAGGGTCTCATCCCTTTCCTTTCCTTCAGGACGGAGGATGTGAAGGTTTCTTCCCCCGTTCCCCCTCAGGAAGGAGGTGGTGGTGAGAGAAAAATATCACCCCTTCCATTCTTTCAGAAAGGGACGAGGGGCCCAGGAAGGAGAGGGATCAGGAGGAGGTGGGGGGTGCTTCCCTTCTCTTCCTGCAGGAAAGAGGAGGAGGAGGTTCCTTCCCTTCCTTCTCCCTCAGGAAAAATGAAGATGAGAAGGTGCCGTCCCTTTTTTTCCCTCTGGAGGGAGGGGGCGCAGGTTTCTCCCCTCAGTTGTCCCCCCCGGGACGGACGAGGAGGTGGTGAGGAGGAGGTGACGCTCCTTCCTTCTCAATCGCGAAGGAGGAGGGGGAGGTTCGTTCCTTTCTTTTTTTCCTCAGGAAGAAAGGGAGGAGGAGCAGGAGGAGGAGGAAGAGGAGGAAAATGAAGAGGATGAGGTTTTTCCATTCCCTCTTCCGCAGGAAAGAAAGGAGGTGGACGGACAGGTGCCTTACCCGTCGCTTCTCTCGGGAGGGAGGAGGTGGAGGTCCCGTACCTCCCTTGTCCTTCAAGAGCGAGGAGGAAGGGTTTCCGCCCTGTCTGTTCCCCCGAGCAAGGAGGAGAAGAGTCCTGCCTGCCCCCCGCCCTCAGGAAGGAGGGGGGTGAGGAGGATGAGGTGGGTATTCCGCCCCCTCCCGTCCCTCAAGAATGGGGAAGAGGAGGTCGCTTCCTCCCCCTGTTCCTCGGAAGGGAAAGTGATGAGGATGGCGAAGGAGAAGCAAGTTCCTTCCTTGCCCTCTCCCTAGAGAAGGAGGAGGATGAGGAGGTAGAGGTTCCCCCTCCCCGTTATCCCCCATGAGCGAGGAGGAGGAAGGGGGAGGATCCCACGTTGAGATTACCAGGCGAGTTCAGATTGAATGCATACAGAGAAGGAATCCTATTGTGATGTCCTCGGCACAGGGGTTCCTTTTGAAATCCTCCACGAAAGGAATTGCGATTCCGATTGAAAGCCTCCACGGCCCCTGGCACTGCCAACTTCCTCTGGGGGTTGGGCCCTGGGAGAAACGCTCGGGGGGGGGGGGGGGGGGGGGGGGGGGGGGAAACGCCCCCGTCCTCCTTCTCAAAACTCCTCCTCGGGGGGGGGGGGGGGAGGGAGGAGAGGAGGAGGAGGAGGAGGGAGGAGGAGGAGGAGGAGGAGGAGGAGGAGGAGGAGGAGGAGGAGGAGGACGCGGGACGCGGCGCCCGACGAAGTCAAATCGGATCAAATCGCGGGCCCTCACAGGCCAGGGGGGCCCGTGCCTCGGACCTCAACCGCTGGCGGGGCGGCGGCCGAGTGCCCCTCAGGCTCCCCGTTCGCACATTCTCTCACATGTTCTCACATTCTGGCAGGGTCCACATTTCTTTCATTTTCTTACATTTTCTCACATGCTCGTACATGGTAGTCCTCTCCTGGCCACAAACGATTGGCACGTCGGGCTCTGGCGGGGCCGCTGGTCTCAGGTGCGCCGAGGGAATGCCTTTGACGGATGGCTC